TGGTTTCGCTGTCCTTCACAGAAGCTTCTTACAACATAAACTGAATGATGGAGGAAGTAAAAGTTCAAAATGAAACACGGGGTCTGAAACATCGTTCTTATAAAGTGCGTGGATCTTTCGTATATATTTTAATTCTAAAATGGTATAGCGTAAAAAGCACGATTTTATGGCTTTCTGCCTGTTTCAACTGGAGCAAGAAATACATAAGTTAAAGCCAGTGAACATATCACTATCTTTATATCACTGAAGGCTGCAGAAAACTATCTGGTTTGATGTTAACTAACAACCTTGTTATAAGCTTAACTAAGAATCACATACAACAACCAGGCTCTAAGCTTAACTGAGAACCATAGAAAAGAACCAGGTTCTACTTTTATCTGACAACTACAGACAACAAACAGAATCTAAACTTAAATCAAAACCACAAACAGCAACCAGGTTCTAAGCTTGCCTGGGAATCATAGACAACATCTAGGTTATAAGTTTAGTTAAGAACCACAGACAACAACCAAGTTCTAAACTTAACTGAGACCTACAGGTAACAAATATGTTCTAAGTTCAACTTAGAATTACAGACAACAAACGGATTCTAAGTTTAACTGAGAAACACGGACAACAACTAGTTCTAACTTTAACTGATAAACAAAGTCAACAACTAGGATCTAAGATAAATTGACAACTACAGACAAGAACCCAGTTCAAAACTTAGCTGAGAACTGTATACAACAACGAGATTAACTTAACAGGCTCTGAGTTTGACTGGCAACTACAAACAAGAACCAGGTTCAAAGCTTAGCTGAAGACTTCAAACAACAACCAGGTTCAAATCTTAGCTGAAGACTTCAAACAACAACCAGGTTGGCTTAACTGAGCACTACAGACAACAACAACCAGGCTCTGAGCTTGACTCACCACTACTGAACAAGAACGAAGTACAAAGCTAAGATGAGAACTACAGACAACGATTAGTTTTAAGCCTAACTGGGAGTCATAAACAAATACTTGTTCAACAAACAACAATTAGGTTTTAATAAGCTTAGGTAAGGACAGCAGAGGACAACCAGGCTCTAAGCTAAATTGACAACTACAGACAAGAACCAAGTTCAAAGTTTAGCTGAGGAGTGCCCAAAACAACTAGGTTTTAAACGTAACTGAGAATTACAGTTCTGTTCTAATTCTAATTAAGTGGGCATTACAGAAAATATTCGATTTTCATGTTTACTAAATGAAAACTATTGACTGCTATTGTACTAATTATGCCCGAACTGCAGAGTCATGACTATCCTGAACAAAGTGTAATAGGCATACGTTGTATTTCAATCCATCTATTCTATTCTAGAAGTAGTGTAATATTTTTTTTTTCCATAAGTACAACTCACTTACAACGCAACTGAAACAACGCTCCATGGTATCTTGACCTTCTGTAACACAATAGGATCACACACACAAATATAAATTTAGACACATATCTATAGGATTGCATGTGTGTGTATGAATATATACCAAAATGAACTTAACCAAAACTAAACGACAAAACTGAATGACCTTAAACACTTCGTCACTAGAAGTCAAGTATTAAGGTGGTTTAAAATCACTTTATTTTTCTATTGAACTACAACAATTACTCCTACAGCACATCCACGCTTTAAACCGAGAGTTAAATTATTCAGGCCTTCTACAGTAATATCTGGTATTCTTGTTTCTATGGTGATGGACTACCTGCTATGTCGTCTTTATAAGACAAATAAGAAAAGGAAAGACTGTGAAATTTAAATTAGGAAACACGTTGACACCAACACACTAAGTCCTTTTCGTTTCGACAGTGAAATGTTGAAGGCCAGAAAGAAAAATCCAAGATGATTATATAAATTGTAATAAGTACATGAGATGCTCGGGTAAACGAAGAGAATTACGTGACGGCTAAACAGGCTTGGTACAATTTTATTTCAGTACATTTAAATGTTTGCAATTAATTAAAGAGACGATTTACTTCATTTGGCTGATACCACCATTTGTTAACTAGTCAAGACAAACGTTCTCTCTAATTTTTTAAATCCATGTGCGGAATGAATTTTTTTCATGTGCACCAGTATCAAGGCAATGCGCGGATGTGCGCTACCAGTTGTCTTTAGGGAGGGGGTGGTATTTTTAGACCATCGACCCTATTGGATCATTAGGCCGCTTTACAATGCTATCAGTTGGTTATTTTGGTTTTAGGCCTATCGACTGCCAAGGTCATTAAGGCCGTCAACATGTTGAGACTCCTCACCATTATTGAACATGTGCGCGGCTGGAATAATGAAGTGCGCGGCACTTGATTGGTTGTTGTGCCGTCGCACAGCTTAGAGAGAACGCTGGTCAAGGCAAATCCAAAACATAACAGTTCATTAAGAAGTTCATTAAGAGTCTTGATTAGGGTCGCCTCTTGGTTTTCTACTATGCCAAACGTGTGTGCGCGCGCGTATATATATGTTGGTATAGAAAACGTTAGCGAAAATTTTGAAAAATACTTTTCAGCAAACGAACGCCAATAGGGTTGAGACTGTGAGTAGCCTGATCAACGAGAAGCGCAGTGTATTTTTTTTATTATTCCTTGAGCTTCATCGTAGTTCTTTGATAAGATGGTGGTATGGTGGTACAAATCCAATTGTTTTAAGCTATTTTAAAATCACTGGTTCTCCGCAGGAGACATACCCTCGAAATGACCAAAAAGGTGGAAAACACCTTGGCGCTAGGCCAGGATTATATGCTCAAAGTGATAATTTCTACCTTTGGCCACAAGAGATGTCCACATTGAGATGCTACGATTGGCCGCTCTATATCGAGGTGGAAACACAAATAAGTCTACTGAACATGTCGTAAAAACATTATTAGCGTCAATAAATATAGGTTTAGTAAGTCAAAATCAGGAGTAAATAACTTACAAGTGGGTTGTAATGGTGAGTTATGGTCTGACACCCCGTAGGTTTTAGTCAATAATGCAGAATTTGATTATAGGAAGTTAGTAACTCTTGAGAAAGTTGCCTCTGAACCTGACAGAATATGGTTCGAATTTCACTTGATTTCAGTTCTCATTTCTTGCCTTGATTCTGAAGTTGATAAAAAAAAAAAACACCCAAACCGGCTAGTTCACTTAAGTCTAGTACAATTCTTTTTTATTATTATTATCTAATCTAGTGGCTTACCCTGAAGTTGTATATAAGTTTGAATGTATAATAATTGATATGGCGAGGATTAGAATTTTACCAAAACTGTTTCAAGAAGTACATGTATAGAAAATTAATTGCGTTTTACTGAAGAAAAACGCTTATGTAGATTAACAATACCTTTCTATACATTTAATTAATTAGATATTGCATATTTGATTATATTTTTTACATTAATATTGATTAGCGCTCATCCAGGCTTCGACATCAACTATGATAAACACGTACAGTACAGGCATACAGGTATGCAAAAATTGAGATATTGCTACGTGTGCCATTTTATGCCCCATTAGACATTGTTTGTCAGGCAACGCCTAGATGTCGCTTTTTTATTACTCTCTAAGTTATCTAAGAGATTTGAATCGGAGAATCACAACAGACTATTAACAGTTATACGAACAGTGCTAACGTAGTGAATAGATGTGTGGATTCCGTAAGTTACTAAATCAACAACAAGTCGCCAGCAATATAAACGTATTGTAAGGAAAAGTACTCATTTCATAAGTTACTAAATCAACAACAGGTCTCCAGCAATATAAACGTATTGTAAGGAAAAGTACTCATTTCATAAGTTGCTAAATCAACAACATGTCTCCAGCAATATAAACATATTGTAAGGAAAAGTACTCATTTCATAAGTTACTAAATCAACAACATGTCGCCAGCAATATAAACGTATTGTAAGGAAAAGTACTCATTTCATAAGTTGCTAAGTCAACAACATGTCGCCGCAAATGTGAGCCATGGCGCCACCGACCACATGTCTATCACCTATATAGTTGGTTAACTCCGAACTTCTAGCCACTCGACAGTGCAATGCCGCCTAGGCTGACTTATGGCTGGAGGATTATGTCATATCCCTGTCTGAAAAAGAATGTTCTTATAACAAAGTGGCACAAAGTACAGGAATGCAAATTTTAAAGATAACTATCTGTAACGTAGTGAATAGATGTGTGGATGTTTAAAGATAACTCTCTATAACGTAGTGAACATATGTGTGGATGTTTAAAGATAACTCTCTATAACGTAGTGAATAGATGTGTGGATGTTTAAAGATAACTATCTAATTGTACAACATACAACAACTTACGAGTCTGAATGTGCTAAATTGATACATAATAATCAACTAGCTTGATACAACTAACTTCATTATACAACAACTTATCAGTCTGAATCTGCTAAAACTAATACATAATAGTTAATCAGTTTGATACTACTAAATCCATTATACAACAACTTATCACTCTGAATCTGCTAAATTTAGTATATAATAGTTAATCAGTTTGATACTACTAAATCCATTATACAACAACTTATCAGTCTGAAGCTGCTAAATCTGATATATAATAGTTAATCAGTTTGATACTACTAAATCCATTATATAACAACTTATCAGTCTGAAGCTGCTAAATCTAATATATAAAAGTTAATCAGTTTGATACTACTAAATCCATTATATAACAATTTGTCAGTCTGAATTTGCTAAAACTAATACATATTAGCTAGTCAGGTTGATACTAAATATATTATACAACAACTTATCGGTCTGAATCAGTTAGATCTGTTACTAAATTCATTATACAACAGCTTACCAGTCTGAATCTGATACATAATTGTTAATCAGCTTGATATTACTGTTATATAACAGTTTATCGGTCTGAGTGTTATAACACTTGTCTCCCAATGAAGCAGTGTGATACTATTCAGTTTATTATCTAACAGTTTACTAGCTATTCAATGCATACCACATAAGTAAGCTTCAACTGTTAAACAGTCGTAATGTTCCAAACTTACTTGAAAGGTGGTTACGTATGGCAGATAACTTTTCTTAGCCTTTAGTTAAAGCTAAAGAAAGTTTCCTTGCAGCAAGGATCCTCGTGTTCAACTTCTTTATCCAGGGCAAGTTTAGAGTTAAATTAAGAAATATTGCTATACTATCTAGTCTAATAACATTTTAGGAGCTCAGTCAGTAAAGAAAGCAGCCAGCAATCGGAAGCTTCCTCCAGTACGTCCAGTCTCGCGTCCTTTCGTTTACCCACTGCTTCTCGAGGCGCGTGTCCGCAAACATGACGCATTTTCTATACGCCCTGTAATCACGAGACCCAGGGAGGAAGAAATGATTCGCGCTCGGGCCTGTCAACTGCAGACAGATACCCTATTGAAAAACCCTCGAGTAGTATATAAAAATGCGCCTCTGGGGCGTTTATTAAAAACTTGAAACTCATTTACTTCAGAGATCTACGTAAAACTCGCGTAGTGTGATTAGAGAGAAAACACAACTCATAGAAGACCTAAACGTTATTGACTTTCAATAACTGTGTTACTTAAGCAAAAAATTAAAATCTATATATATCAAAAACAGGCCAATGTTCTAAGTTTTTGATCCAGTTCATTTATAAATATACCTAATTTTTTTTTTTTATAAAAGCATTATAAACAGCGTGAAAATTTAAACTTAGCTAGCATAACGTTACTATGTTAGGTGAAGCTTATGTAAAATATTTTTTCGATATAAAAGATATATATATATATAACGGTAATATAAAATTAGAATATATTAAAAAAATTACCGCTACAATACATTTCAAGCTTTTGAATGCTTCAGGTTAAATATATCACATTTATTTGCCTTCATGTTGATAAAAAAATATGAGCTGGAGTGGCCTAGTGGCTAATATGTCAAACTGCGGAAAAGAAGGTTCGAGCCTGTGTTGTGCCGCTGAACAAACTCCGCATTTTCAGCTAAAGGAGCGCCATAAGAGTGATGTTCAATCCCGCAATTCGGTCAAGAATGTTTGTTTAGGTGGTGGCTGCAGACTGGTTGCCTTCTTTTTGGTCAGCTGTTCTAACTTAGGGACGGCTATGCTTGAACCTTGGGGTCTCTTACTTGACAGATAGCCAAGTTGAAAATATAAAATTCCAATGCCGACCGATAGGAGAATGTTTCTGAGTAACTCTAACCTTCTTAGTTGTAAAAATGACGATTTAAGTAAGTATTTAATTCTTGATTTAATCTAAGTAAGAGCACGCTTCCCAATAAAGGTACCCTCGTGGTAGATTGTAAGCAATATAAGCGTATTGTAAGGAAAAGTACTCATTTCATAAGTTACTAAATCAACAACATGTCGCCAGCAATATAAACGTATTGTAAGGAAAAGTACTCATTTCATAAGTTACTAAATCAACAACATGTCTCCAGCAATATAAACGTATTGTAAGGAAAAGTACTCAATTGCACATCGATTTATTAATCTGAGTCTGTTAAATATATCATACTATTGCAACAGTTTACTTGTCCGAGTCTGCTAAAGCTGATACATAATATATCCACCTGTTTTGTGTAATACACAATAATCAATCAGCTTGATGCCACTAAATATATTGCACATCGATTTATTAATCTGAGTCTGTTAAATATATCATACTATTGCAACAGTTTACTTGTCCGAGTCTGCTAAAGCTGATACATAATATATCCACCTGTTTTGTGTAATACACAATAATCAATCAGCTTGATGCCACTAAATATGTTGCAGTACGTTCCGGACTATGGCCTTCGTCAAGTTTTCCATTTATACATTTCAATAGTTGCCACAGATGGCGTTTTTAGCTTGTTACAGAAACGTTAGAAGTGTGCGACGGTACGTACTTTCTGTAAGAAATATATAAAACCTGATTTTCTATATGAGAAATATCTTTGAATTATTCATAACGTTTTACTGGTCAATATCAAAATTATTTCGCTGTTGTTCATTTACTAGAAAACGTGTTCGTCGAAATAGACATTTGATTCTGGCGTTATAAGCAATGAATGCGTCTTCAACTCATGATTATCTTAATATAAACTTCGTTTGCTCTGGTGTTATAAACATTGGACACATCTTCAACTCATGATTATCTAAGTATACATTTCGCTTGTTCTGGCGTTATAATCAATGAACAAATCTTCAACTCATGATTATCTAAGTATAAATTTCGCTTGTTCTGGCGTTATAAACAATGAACACATCTTCAACTCATGATTATTTAAGTATACATTTCGTTTGTTCTGGCGTTATAAAAAATGAACAAATCTTCAACTCATGATTATCTAAGTATAAATTTCGCTTGTTCTGGCGTTATAAACAATGAACAAATCTTCAACTCATGATTATCTAAGTATAAATTTCGCTTGTTCTGGCGTTATAATCAATGAACACATCTTCAACTCATGATTATGTAAGTACAAATTTTGTTTGTTCTGGCGTTATAAACACATCTTCAACTCACGATGAGCTCAGTATAGATCACGATCAAAGTTACTAATAAAAATTGTAGGGTGTGAACGCCTTTTACAAGCCTTTTACAGGAAGAAATTATGCTTCCAAGTAATTGCTTAAAAACGCGTCTTAGGATACTAATGACAGTTTGGAGCTTTAACTAATTAAAAAAGCGCCTTACTATATGAGTTCCTAGAAGTTACCTGCTTAGTTCATTCGGGAAAATGTTGCTTGGCTTGTCGAAGTCAATCCCAAGAAATGCAAGAAAATTGTCTACCATACCAGTAAGAAATACTCTCTCAATCAGTTGTTAGAGATTGTAGCAATCTTGAAAGATAGACTAGGCCTGTTGATAATCCTTTTCAGACTAGAAACTGGTGAAATCAAATAACGAACAATCCTAAATATTATACTCTTGAAACGAAAATGGTATAGAATCAAATAGCACGAACACTATATCTTGAAGTACCGCGTGCTCATATTTCTACACCACTATCTTTCGTCAGAATGCAGTTTGTTTTAGGATACTTAACACTACAGTCAATCTTTTGTTGTGAGTTAATATGAAATTCACGCCCACTCTGCTATCGGCTAACTTGCTTATACACTGAAGAGTTGATACATAGGGTTGTACTCGCGTTATACTCCTAGTGACAAACGAAACCGAACACACTCAATCAACACTGTGGTGCTCCTAAGAAGTCTGACATCCGAAGAACTTACCATGATTAGATTCGTGACTTTCCTAACACAGTCAGCAACGTTTAGATAACTAAATTCCAGATAATAATGGTCATCCTGAATTACTATTAATTTCATCAAATTTCGCAAAGGCTTTCCTGGTCGTATAACTTTGTTTAATTTTCAAGAGTTTTTACATTAACATTATTTGAAACTTTATGGATTTTGTTTTTGCTAAATCGATAAACACTTTTGTTTAAACGCAAAATTTTCTATGTACTATTCTTATATAACTTGGTTACCTAATATTATTATTCTTTTTTTTTACACTCCGTTATTTTTCCTTGTCCAATTTTCTATCTTTCCAGCATTATACAGCTTAAATGAGACTGCACATTCTTAAAAAGCTTAACATAAAAAATTTGCTTCAAGCGTAAACTTGTAGTTTCTGAACAATTTCATAAGAGAATTTTGTAAAGTTTTCGATCCTCGAGCTTAGAGGGGATACACCTCATTACTTATCCACTCCCCAGGTTTCATTACAGCTTCCAACCATAGCTCCTGATGTTATTCTTGTAGTAAATTTATCCTCAGTGCCTTACCTTTCCTTTACACATTTTTTGATATAACAGAAAACTCTCTCTCCTAAAAAAACATATTTTATTAACAAGAAGATGAAAGCGATGAGTAAAAAGAAAGAGAAATTATAAAAAACCGAAAACATGATAACGTAATGAAGAAAGTAAAAACACTTGATTGAAAAAAACCACGGAATTTCCGAAGTTTCTCGAACTATCTCGCCACGTTATATTAACACTAGTTGTGAATTTCACCGTTTAAAACCTTTTCATTTTCCTCTTTAAAATAATCACTGCGATACCACATAATAGCTTAACAAAACTGCGAAGGACTTTTTAATAACAGACTAATATTCAGAGTTTTGTTCAATACAATCATGCTTGTTTAATATTCATTTACTTGCTGCTACTGAACTTGGATGAAAATATACTGATTATAAAACATCCAACTCGTAAATGTTTGTTTGCTGTTAAACACAAAGGTACTCAATGAGCTATCTCTGTTGTGTCCACCGCGGGTGTCGAAACTCGATTTTTAGCGTTATAAGCCTTCAGACTTGCCGCTGAGCCACCGAGGGGAGGGTGTTAAGGAGGAAAGATAAAACGACGAAATAGCTTTGAATTACAAATTGAGTTTTAACTGAATGAAAAATGTTCACGCCTTTGCTTAAACGGTAAACATTCCATAAACAATTAGAGTTTAGTTCAAAAGCCTGTGTGTATACACAAAAGCGAAATTAAAAATGCAAGGCTCTCCTCTTGTATTACGATAAATAGTGATATCATAATAACACGGGCAGGTGGGAAATGATAAACATTCACAAATAAAAACGAATGTATAGGTAGACTCATGCAATTTTATTGCCTTTCAGACAAGTTTTAGTTTACGTTGAAAGTGTAGAACAATAACGATGCTTTTGTTTATCTGTTTCTGTATTTTTTGTGGAGGGCAGTTTAAGATCTGTTTGTTATTGATGAGGAAGTAAGTACTTTTTGTACTGTTTTCTTTGTTTGTTTCGTAATTTTCGCGCAAAGCTACACAAGGGTTTTTGAATGGTCATACCACAGATTAAGCGACTAGTCAGTAGCATCCACTGCTAACTCTTGTGCTGCTCTTATCAGATCGAGTAGTGGGACTTGACCGTCACTCTTATAGCGCACCCACAGCCTCAAAGTGCTGAGCAAGTTTTGGGGGCAACAGGACGCGAATCATGATCCCTTGGATTCACAGTGGACCCAATTATAAAAAAGTAATTTAGAAATAATCAAATAATAATGAACTATTATTTGGGGCACAAAAAACACTAACAGTCAAAATCCTTTTTGCTTTATTAATCAAGGAATGAACATTGAATATTACAACTTGTTTCTGTTTTACCACCTAAACTAAGTGTAACAATTCAACACAATTTAAACTACTGAGAACAACAAACATGTACGTGCCGATGTTTACAAAAGATTTGAGGCCCATGAAGACCCCAGAAGACTAACGCAGGGTTAAAAACT